AGAGACATTATTCTGGATGTCAGTAGCTGGTGTTAGCCTTGCAAAACAACTGCCCTTTCAGTGCTTCTCTGCGGGCGATCCGATGCCCAGAGAGGGCTGGACTTGCCCACTCCTGTCTCTGCTTGTCAAAGCTGGCAGGTGCTTTAAAGGAGTCGAGATTTCTGGAGTCCACTAGCTGTCCATCAGAAAGAATTGCTTTTAATGGAGCTGAGCTCTCAGGGGGTCAATTTTTACTCCAGTTGCAATGTTCTCTCTCCCCCTCTTCGTTCTCTTAGAACATAAAATCATAGGCTCGGAAGGGAGCACGGAGGTCCTCTAGTCCAACCCACTGCTCAAGCAGGAAATCCTATGCCATTCCAGACAAATAGCTGTCCAGTCTCTTCTTAAAAACCTCCAGTGATGGAGCACCCACCACTTCTGGAGGCAGCTCGTTCCACTGGTTGATTGTTCTCACTGTCAGGAAATTTCTCCTTAATTCCAGGTTGCTTCTCTCTTTGCTAATTTTCCAGGAATTTCTCCTTGTCCCGTCTTCAGGTGCTTTGGAGAATAAGGTGAGCCCCTTTTTCAGATATGACTCATGTTTATGACGGTCACAGCCCTCTTTTATGTTTTTAGGGCCACCCCATCCTTCCACCAGACCACAGAACCAGCATCAAAGCACCATTTTAAGTCTGACCGACTCCTTCCTTCCCTCTCTTTAGAATCCTGCAGCAATCTATATTCTCAATTTTTCCTGTCTCGGAAACAGGAAAAGCCACTAAAAGCTAATCACTTAGCGTGCCTCTGGAGAAGGAGAAGACCAAATGACAAAAAATTGTGAAGAACAGGACGGTTGACTAAGTAAACAGAGGCGGGGATGGGATGATTAGAAATTTGATCATTGCTGCCTCAAATTGGGTTAGGCTCTAAAGAAAGATACCACCTGTCGCCCACTTTTTTTTATCCAAAGGAGCTAATACAGTCCCAGCTTTGTAAATTCAGCAGATCCGAAGATTGCAAAGGGTTCCACAATTTCATTACAGAAATTTCATGAAATGTTATTAAAGCTTTTTGCCGAAGAGAGAACTGCTGAGCAATTTTTACTTTGGGCCGATCACCAGGAGACGGTGAGTTCTAGTCCCGCCTTAGCCATGAAAGCCGGCTGGATGTCTTTGGGCCAATCCTTCTCATTCAGCCCAACCCACCTCACAACGTTGTTGTGCAGAAAACAGGAGGAAGGAGTATTAGATATGTTCACCGTTTTGAATTACCCTATAATGTAATAAAGGTGGGATAAAAATCTAATAAATAACAAAAAAAAGTGAGTGGACACAGGCAGGTAAACCCAGAGAGGCATCAACAAAAGAGATAATGAAAAAAGACGGTTTTGTTCACAAACTTTCAAAATAAGGGATGATGCAGGTAATTGAATTTGCAAATGCCCAACTTGAGCTGGGCATTTGAGCTTGGGTGTTTGCAAATTCAGTGCTATTTTTGTGTGTGTGTTTTGGGGGTGGGCGTACCAGCATTACTTGGGCTCCCCTTCATTTCTCTCCTTAGAAGTCCACTGGGAGAGATAGAGGCCAGGCATGACTGACTCTCTATTTGGCTGCCTAACATTATTTTAATTAAAAAAAAAAAAGTTAGAGAGGGATAAAAGACACAGACGAAAGAAAGCCTCACCATTAAACCGAGTTTTGGATTAAGTCGCGCAAACAAGCCTGTCGATAATCTAAACAATAAGGTTGGATCTGCACAACGCGGAAGGCAATCGATAGCTACCATTAACCATGGTTAGCATGTCGTGCAAATGCCAATGCTGGTTTTTATTGCATGAAGCAACAGGCGTGATCCTGGCTTCCTACACTGAGAATGTGAACTCTTAAGAAAAGTCTTTCTTTTTTTTTGCTAGGTGTTATCGGTTTAGTTTCATGGATGGATCAGAAGGGGATGGGATAACTGTGATGGCCCAGGAGATAGAAATTCAGCCATCCTTTCAGCAGGGGATATGAAACAGGGCTTGTTCGCTGAAGCCCGTGTTGACAAGAGGGCGCCAGGAATTGTCCAAAGTGGCCATCTAGTTGTAATGTTTAGAAACTCAGAAAGAACAAAGTTTGAAGCGGTGTGACTGGGAATTTAATTGTAAGGCAATCTAAGGAGGGGTCAGTTAGGATTCAGGGGCCACCCCTTCTCTTAAGACCTCCCAGGAAAGGGTGAGAAGAGGAAGGGAGGGGAAGGAGAAGGAGAAGGAGGAGAAGGAGACGGAAAGGAAGGAGGAGGAGGAGGAGGAGGAGGAGGAGGAGGAGAATGTAGATTTTCCCCCCCCAACAACAAAGCAGCAAAGCTACTTAGGGGCAACCTGTCCATAAGGCCACTTTTCAAAAGGCAGAAACATCCTCACAACCTGCGCTGCAGCCTCAGTTTCCCTCTCCCGCCCAACTTCAAAGGATTACCTCTGCACTGAGTCAGCTGGAATGGCAAAGCTGCGGGAAACTTTATCGACTTTCCTGGGCCTTCTTATTTCTAATTTCTCCTCCCACCCCCAAGTGTTCAGAGCCTTCATAAATACTCGCCCTGTCGATTTTCTATCGAGCTGCGGCCAACAGATGTTTGCAAACTGGACTCGGTTCGAAAAGAAACAGGCTAATTGGGCAGCCTCAAATCTCCAGCTGACTTCTCTTAGCCGTGGAGAGAGCAGCGCAATAAACAAAGATTTTGCCAAGATTCATGGTGCACTAGTTTAATTAAGACTCCTTGGGGCTTGGGAGGAGGGGTGAGAGGGAAAAATGGGATCTGGATCCTTGCTTTAAGCCAAGAATACAGCCCACGTTGCCTCCGAGCCGTGACTTCTTAATCAATGGGCAAATATTGAAAGCGTAACGAGTCATCACGTCACTGAAGATTGGCACTTGTCTTAATATGAAAATCCTTGGAGCATCTGGAGATGGGAAATATTTCAGTGGTTTGCTGGCTGGTGGGGGAAACAAATGGGCAGGAAATACTGATTTCAAGAGGGTGGTTGAGTTAGGGTTTGGTCCCACCCATTCTATTAGACAACACCATGAAAGGAAGAAAGAAAGAAAGAAAGAAGGAAAGAAAGAAAGGAAGGAAGGAAGAAAGAAAGAAGGAAGGAAGGAAGGAAGGAAGGAAGGAAGGAAGGAAGGAAGGAAGGAAGGAAGGAAGGAAGGAAGGTAGGTGAGGGAGGAAGGAAGGAAGGAAGGAAGGAGGGAGAGAAAGGAGAAGGAAAGAGAAGGAAAAGCAAGAAGAGGGAGGTGAAGGAAGGAAAGAGGAAGAGAACGAGAAGGAAGGAAGAAGAAAAGGAGGAGGAGGAGAAAGAATGGAAGAAAGAGAAGAAAAAGAAGGAAGGGAAGGATGGAGAAGGAAGGAAAGAAAAGTAGGAGGGAGAAAGGGAGGAGGAGGAGGAGAAGAAGAAGCCTCAAAGTCCTTTTTCCTTCCAAGATGGAAATGAAGTTCTAGAGAACCCTGTCAACCCCTCTGCCCCCCCCCCCAGCTACTAAACTGGGTCACTGGGAAACACCTGAATGGCACAGTCAAGTCTTGTTAGTTGGGAACCAGCAAACTGGGTTAGACAGGTGTGAACATCGCTTATATGTTTGAATCAGGCTGTTTTTTTCTACTGTATTTCCCCCCCCCCCAATGGTTGAGGGCATCCTCAGAACATTTCGCCTTTCAAGGCATGATGCAGTCCGTCTGATTCCAATTGTGTTCCTAAGTTGAGGACCCTTTGTAAATCAGGCACGACAAGGCTGCCGAGGGGATGTTGGCTAATTATTGTTTTTATGATCACCGGCTGGCGAAAGAGAAATCAAGGCTTATTAAAGAAAAGAAAAGAAAAGAAAAGAAAAGAAAAAGGCTGTTTTTCAAGCTAGCTTCAGCCAGAGCTCCTTCATGCACAAAATGACTGCGGGAATTCAAGATGAGGAGAAAAATAAATTCTGTTGGCTCCGTGACTGCGTCAACTTCCAACAATACTGTTAATGGAGAGGACAATTTTTTTTTCCCTTATGGCCTCTTCTTCTCCCTACCCTGCCCGCAACTCTCAAGTCTTCCAGAAACAAGGGACAAAAACCAGGTATTATGCAAAAAAACAAAAAACAGAACCACCCAGGTATCCATCCATCCATCCCTTTTTTAAATGTCATTCTAGTTTTCCCCCCATTTTTTTTAAGAACATGGGACAATAGAGTTGGAAGGGACCTTGGTGGTCTTCTAGTCCAACCCCCTGCTCCAGCGGGAAACTCTAGGCCATTCTGGGCCAATGAATATCCAGGTTCTTCTTAAAACGTCCAGTGATGGAACACCCACAACTTCCAGAGGCAAGTCGTTCCACCGATTAATTATTCTCACTGTCAGGAAGTTTCTCCTTAGTTCCAGGTTGCTTCTCTCCTTGACAATTTTCCATCTGTTGCTTCCTGTCCTGTCCTCAAATGCTTTGGAAATAAGTCAATCCCCTCTTTTTCTGTGACAATCTCTCAAATATTGGAAGACAGGTGTATCGTGTCCCCCCCACCAGTCTTTCCTTTCGTTAGACTAGACCAGGGGTCCTCAACCTTGGCAATAAGCCAAACTGGCTGAGGAATTCTGGGAGTTGAAGTCCACAAATCTTAAAAGTTGCCAGAGTTGAGGACCCCTGGACTAGACACCTCTAGTTCCCTCCACTGTTCATCGTACAGCTTAGGTTCCAGACCTTTTATCCCTTTTGTTGTGTTCATAGTCTAACATGTAACGTCCTGACCATATCGCAGTCTACAGACCCAGGAACCAGGCCTTGTTGATCTGGGTTTAGTTTTCTCTAAACCGTGTTTGCAGATGGCTCCCAGCTCTCTGCCAGTCTGCTTCAACAAGTTTTTAAATTCTCATCAATTCGCTTCACCCTTGACAAATGCCAGGCTATCGGTCCGTGGCCCCAATGCGGGTCCGTCCGAATGCAAGAAAGTCAGCTTGCTACAGACCTTCTTTCTTCTTTTCTTGAACATCAATTTATTTAAAACAAAAAATAAAAATCCAAAGACTAAGAAATACCATCTTGAATCCTTTGAAAGAACACACGTAAAGTGGAGGAAGAGAAGGAGAAGGAGAAGGAAAATGGGTGAAAAGATCGTTTAAAACTCCTGGATTTGGCAAACATAAGCTAGAGATGAAGAAGGGGGAGGGCGGAAATCCCTCCCCTGTTGAGTATTATAGAAATTAAGAAAAAGAGTTGTAGCTATTTACACATCTGAAGACAGAGTGAGGGTCTACAAAAGGTGTAATACTGAGATATGAACATAGTCTATATTACAAGGAGAGAGACTATTCACAAAAGTATTTGTACCCTTTGGAAATATTCAACCCACTCTGAATTTAGGGGTATCTCCCCCTTCACCTCCATTATTTCAAAGCTTAAATCACAGTTTCATATTTTTTTTTCCCGTTAGGCTCGGCACAAGACACAAGGGCAGCCTGGTAAACTGAGCATGCCAGCAAAGACTGCATCCACATTTGTTTAACCATCGCTTGTGAGGGGAAAAATAATAATTAAAAAGGTTTACGGATGGAGATGCTCGGGGTAAGGGAGGCAGTGAATCAAATATCCCCCAAAGATGCTTCAGTTGGTCCTCATAAGAGCCCTGCCTAATTTCAGACTGAAGGCTGCAGCGTACAAGAGACAAATGCTAGAGGGAGAATGGGGTGGAGAATGCGCCCATGCGCGTAGGAGAAGGAGTGGCAGAACTTGGGGGTGGTGGTGGAGTGAAAAGAGGCATCAGCCTAGAATCCCTATGTAGCCACAAACTAACTAGGTCCCACCTCCCTTGAATTTCACTAACCCTTATCTAACTCCTAGCAGGTGCTGATCTTTCGCTAAGATTCCTACGCAGAGGCTTTCAGCAATAGAGTAGCTTAATTGAACCTTCACGTGTGAACCTGATCTTTCGCACCTGACAATGTGCAAAGAGGGCTAAGTAGGAAGCAACCCAGAGAGATCCCTGCAATCAATTTGGTCTTGACAAGTGGTGTCCCACTTTCCACACAAAGCTCACCCTACAAGCAAACAAGCATTAGTTAGAACGTCCCAAAGGATGCAACGTTAAGACAAGTTAAGCTTCACCAGACTTGGACATCCCAGAGTTAAGAATGAGACGGAGGGAAAATCCCGACGAGAGAGATGGAATGGGGGCGGGTAGGTGTATGAGGAGGGGTTCTTGTTTCACAAGGTGGCTTGTGAGGAGCAGAGGATGAGCATATCCTGAGGGTGAGAGCAATCCAATCAAAGCAACATCTGGAATGCTCAAAGTCAATGGTTTTGGACAACCCCAGAGGATCACTAAGATACAATCCACATGGCTAAGTCTGTGTGTTGTCTCTCTGAGGTGTGGGGTCCATTATTCTGTCCCGGGAACCAAAATGTCTTGGGTCAGCTCCATCTAAAGTGGGTGACCGATTACCTCCCCACTTCTGCTACCTCTGAACAATATCGCTGATTTCTTTGACTGAGCTGAGCAACTTGCTAAAATCTGGGGTGGTGGCAGGACCTCCACCAGCTGTGGCAGGGCAGATCTGAAGCTCCCGGAGATTGTTCTCCAGTTTGTTGATGGCCTCTCGGAAAGCAAACTTATTCCGCATCTGCTGGATGGAGTCCACATAGCTGACGCAGAAGGTGTACAGGTTCTTGCCTGCTTCCAGGACGGCGCTATGGCTGACCATCTGTTCCGAGTTCTTGCTGATGGCGTTCCGTAGGGTCTCAGAGCTCTCCAGGACCGTCCCCTTCGTGACGGTACCACTCGCTATCTTCTCCGGAGGTTGGCGGGTCTTCCTCAGGGAGACCCGAGTGGAGATGAGAGGGATGAAAGCTGTGGAGGTGGGCTGATCTGCAGCAAGAGCGGATGAGATGGTGGGAGGTGACGGAGAAGGAGAACCGGCCATCAAGAGCAATTTGGCGGATGAGGGAGACTTTGGTACCGAGGTCATCAATGCCTTTTTGCTTCCTTCTGTGGACAAACTGGACTTGGGAGTCTCAGCATTTACGGGGGGCTCTGCAGCCACTACTGTCTGCTTGCCCTTGGCCAGGGACCCTTCAGGTCCTTCGTGGCTGGGCCCAAGACCCACCTTGTTATTTTTGCCCGAGTTCAAGACCGGAGGAGGTGGGGCAGGTTTGAGCTTCGACAGCTTCCCTTTTTCCTTCTCTGGGGCCGGCTTCATCTTGCGTAGACGGGACTCCTCGCCCAGACCTTTGCCAGCAAAGAAGCCCAGGGTGGCTTTGCCCACTGTGGTCTGCTCAGTCGATGGACCCCCACAAGCAGAAGGGAGCAAAGGCTGCCTCCGGCTGAGTTTAGGGGTAAGAGTGGGCGGACTGGAGCCTGGGCTGCTCACGGCCTCTTTGGAAGTCTCTTCCAGCGTCTCCTCGTTCTTCTTCAGCAACCGAGGACCCGAGGTGACCATTCCCCGGTTGATTGGATCAGCCTTTGCCTCGCTGGCTCGTTTCCGAGGCAGGGCGGGCTTTTCGCTCTTGTGGCCCCCAAAGGTTGACGAGTCAAACTGGTGCCCCATGGACTGTGGGTTCCGAGGGAGGGTGACCGACTTCCACTCGGTGTCCCTGCCCCCGTGGGGCACGCAAGAGGCAGAGCAGGAGCGCAAGAAACGCTTGCTGGAGATCATGCCACCGTCCTCTTCGCCGGGACCCGGGCGATTATTGGCCGAGGAGCCCGATTTTTTCCAAGCATTTGGGGTCAACAAATTGGAGTTCCCAGTCCCATTGGCCACTCCGGCTGCCTCGTTGCTGGCGTTGGGGAACCTGGAACGGTCCTCTAGATCAGCAGGTTGTGTGAGCAAGACCCCGTTGCTGCTATCTTTGGTCTCGTCCTCCCCGACTCCTTTATGCTCCAGGTGGCCCTCCGCTTCCCGGAACGAACTGCTCCGCTTCGGAGGGGTGGGGGCCGTTTTCTTTTTCTTCTTGATCAGAGCACTGAAAAGATTGGTCTTTTTGTCTTTCGGGAGCAAACGGTCATCTTCATTTAAACTCCCATCGGCAACAGCCCTTTCTTTCCGCGGCAGTACAGGGGACACTGCTGGTTCGTGTTCTGTGCTTTCTGCAAAATAAAAACAGACGCAAGATGTTGTGAAACATCCAGCCGGACAGGGAAGGGGTATCAAGTAGGGAATTAGCCTTGAATCATTGCATAGTCACAAAAGATCCGACACAGACCCCTGGAACCTTAACTATCTATTCCCAATCAGCCTGGGGAGATTCCTACAGAGGTAGTCCATGGTTGCAATGTGTGAAAAACAGCCGTAAGTCATTTATACAGTGCTGTTGTGACTTCAAACGGTCACAAAATGAACTGCTGTTTAAGTCGAGGACAGCCTGCATGATAGGCAGAATACCCTAAAGTAGTTATCTTGAAACCTACAGTTGTGGATCTGATCGCTTGCCCCTAACCCAACCCCTTAAGCCAGTATTTCTCAATGTTGGCTATTTTAAGATGTGTGGACTTCAAACTCCCAGAATTCCCCGGCTGTCGTGGTCGTCCATCGGCTGCCCACCCTCTTCAGACAGTGTCCCATTATGGTACAGAAGAATTGAACGGACCACTTTCTGCCGGGCCCTTCACAGGCACCGCTTCCAAGTTCTCGGCGTCCTTCCACTCAGCCATCTTTCGAGACGACCTGGTTTTCGTGGGCAGCTCTGGTGCTTGCAAAAAAGGGTTGGCCACACTCCTCCCCGTTTTCTTCCCCAGCTCTTTTTCCACTTCTGAAAAGGAAAGAGATAAAAGAAAAAAAATTGTATCAGATTTAAGTCCAAATTAAACAGCTGTTTTGCAAAGCCACGAAAATTTTGGGCTCGACTGTGGTCGTAAGTTGAGGGCTGCCTAATTTTTCTCAAGACAGCACAGGAAGCCAAATATTAGCAGCTGAGACAGGATTCCAGGTACAGGATTAGCTTCTAAGTGGAGGTGTTAGAGAACTTATTTTTGCCCTTTCTGCACTCAGAATAAAGACTTAACTTATGTCGTGGCATCTCCGGGAAGGAAGGAAGGAAGGAAGGAAGGAAGGAAGGAAGGAAGGAAGGAAGGAAGGAAGGAAGGAAGGAAGGAAGGAAGGAAGGAAGGAAGGAAGGAAGGAAGGAAGGAAGGAAGGAAGGAAGGAAGGAAGGAAGGAAGGAAGGAAGTTTTCCATTGCAAAAAAAAATAAGAAATATCTGGAGGCACCCACCATCTGAAATGCTGGATTCTTGAAACATCGTCTCAAACGCTTGATGGATTTCGGCAAAGGACGGTCTCTCTGAAACACTCCACTGCCAGCCTAAAGAGAAGATCAAGGGAACAACTGGTGAAAAATGCAAGAGTGAACTCTAGAAATATTCTCTCTCTCTCTCTCTCTCTCTCTCTCTCTCTCTCTCTCTCTCTCTCTCTCTCTCNCGGGCGCTCCATGCGATAGTCCTTCTCCAAAAGTTCATACACTTGCGACAGGTCAATCCCAGGATACGGGGACATGCCGTACGTGGCGATTTCCCAAAGCAAGACACCAAAAGCTGTGAGGATGGACAGGAAGAGAGTGAGCCTCGCTCCTTGTTTATATACAGTAGCTCTGAGCTGGGTGGTTTTCTTGCAGACAAGGAGCCTTCCAACTCTCTTATTCTGTATTCTTACCCCAGACGTCAGATTTGATGGAGAATTTGTTATAAGCCAGGCTTTCCGGCGCAGTCCACTTGATAGGGAACTTAGCTCCAGCGTGGGCGGTGTACGTATCACCAGTCATCAACCTACTTAAGCCAAAATCAGCTACCTTCACCAGGTGATTCTCTCCCACCAGGCAGTTTCGGGCAGCGAGATCTCTGCAAGGGCAGAAGAAGATGGCTGTTAAGAAAAGATCGAGGGAAACAACTTTTAAAAAAAAATACTCCACAAGGGAAAGCAGGAGTAAGGTTAAGAACGTGCCGAGCGAAGGCAAATTAAAACAATGCTGAAACAAGTTTTAAAAAATGCTGAACTTAAAAAAATCTTCAAGAGTAGAAAGACATAGAGAGGAAGATAACACAGGTAGTATGATTTGCAGTTTGGATAGGTGATACATTAAACAGGGAGATATAAAAATGTTAGAGAGAGAGAGAGACAGAGTAGGATGGATGGATGGATGGATGGATGGATGGATGGATGGATGGATGGATGGATGGACAGACAGACAATAGACAGAGAGAGATAAACAGATGTGATAGATTGCACTGGAGTGCCAGGCTATACTAAAAGGAGGAGGAGGATTAGTTGACAGACAGATAAGGAGATGGATAGAATCCAGGGAAAGACAGATTAGACAGACGGAGAGATAAGACCACGTCGGTACACCTGAGAAAAAAAAGAGACGGTGTTAAAGATCCAAGGACTCACACTGGTTGGTAAATAAAAGAAGTTATTTTTATTGAGAAGGTAACATTGAGAAATGGCTAAAACTCCCTAAGATAAAAGAGAGAGAGAGAATTTCTCCACCCTACGTCACATAAAATTGGACACTGATCCAGGGCTTCTGCTTTTGCTCACACTGGAAGAAGATCTGTCGGAGAAGTTCACTTTGCCTTAAGCGGGAGCAAAACAAGTGGCAGTTCTGTCATTCAACATGAATGATATATCCCCGAGGGCACCTCAATTTGTCCCACGTTGTTCAAGCACAGCTTCTGTTCTTCCAAAGTAGCACCACGAATGGGAAACAGCGCCTCTTGAAAGGGTGAAACCTCAGATGCTTGAGGTCCTCCAAGAAGACACGGGAATTTGAAAACCACCGCAGATCAGAAGACACAAAATACAGAGGAAATACCCCTATCTCCTCCACTGACGTTCTAGAATTTCCAGATCTTCTCAGGTTTTACGCTTAGGCAAGAGAAATCAAATAGGGGGTACCTGGCGCGCCACAGCAGTAATTGTGACAGAGATCTAGGGATCCTAATGGACAGTCACCTAAATAGGAGCCCGCCATGTGCTGCAGCTGCCAAAAAAGCCCATACAATCCTACCCTGCATCAACAGAAGGATAGAGTCAAGATCACGTCAAGTGTTAGTACTACTTTATACAGCCTTGGTAAGACCCAACTTGGAGTACTGCAGCCAGTTTCGGTCACCGCGATACATAAATAGTTTTGAGAGCCTAGAAAGAGTGCAGAGAGGCCCAACCACGATAATAATAGCTTTGGAGGATAAACTATTACGATGAACAGTTACAGGAACTGAAGAGAAGGACGAGGGTAACAATATTTGAAGGGCTGTCACATAGGAGAGGGGGTCAACCTATTCTGCAAAGCGCCTGAAGGCAGGATAAGAAGCAACAGATGGAAACTTATCAAGGAGAGAAGCAACCTAGAACCAAGGTGAAATGTCCTGGCTGTGAGAACAATTAATCAGTGGAACAACCTGCCTCCAGAAGTTGTGGGTGGCCAAGTTTTTAAGAAGAGATTGGACAACCGTTTGTATAAAATGGTATAGGGTTTCCTGCTTGAGCAGGGGGTTGGACTAGAAGATCTCCAAGGTCCCTTTCACCTCTGTTATTCTGAATGGTGTAAAGTCTCCTGCCTGAGGAGGGGGTTGGACTAGAAGACCTCCAAGGCCCCTTCCAACTCTGTTATTCTGAATGGTATAAGGTCTCCTGCCTGAGCAGGGGGTTGGACTAGAAGACCTCCAAGGCCCCTTCCAACTCTGTTATTCTGAATGGTGTAAGGTCTCCTGCCTGAGCAGGGGGATGGACTAGAAGATCTCCAAGGCCCCTTTCACCTCTGTTATTCTGTATGCTCTAGAGAGCCATGGGGTTTCTCACATTGGGACTCTCCCCAGGACACGGGCTTCACAAATACCAGTTTTCAAAGTCACAGAGAAGCATCTTGGCAGCGTCTACCTCCAGTGGAACAGAGTCCCAAATTTAGCTTGGCGACCGGGGGGGGGGTGGGGGGAGTTAGGGGAAAATGACATAAGAAGGAGACTTTTTCATCCCCCCCCCCACTGATGGAAGAGTGGATCAAGTCTCCCGCTAGGCTTTCCTATTAGGGCGATCAGAGACCATTTCCCCAGACAAAGAATGCAAAGCATTAACGGTAATTGCAGCTGGCTTAAAGGTCAAAATCCTCCAGACGGACAGGGCTTGCAAAGATGGTTAATAGAGAGTGGGAGACAGATAAAGCTCAGACAATAAAGAGTCGTGAAAGCCGGGGATGACAAGGTGAGTGAAGGATGGACGTCATCACAAAGGAGCTTTGGAGGGAGAGGCAGCCCAAGAAGAATAAGAGAGGGAGAGAGAGAAAGAGAGAGAGATGAAAAGAAAACGGAGAACTTCATAAGGAGAAGAAGGTCTTCTAATAGAAGGAGAACAGGAGGGTCATTATGGGCAATTTGGTGCCGTTCCCGGAGGCCCTTGGCCGGCTTTGTCTCACAAAGAGCTGTGATGAGTGAGGAAGATGGTTTCACCGCCAGCCTTATTGCAAAATCACAAAGGCACACAAAGGCACCCGGAACGGCGGCTCACCTCCGCTGGGCAAGACACAAATGGGTCAGGGGAGACTTTCCAGGGGTTACGAACCCCTTAACAGATGCAAACCGAGCCTTCGCGGTTCCTCTCCGGCAAGCATCTCAGGAGGTTTCCTCTGGGAGGGTATCAAGGGGTATGGGACACTGTGTAGAGGTACGCAAAGGTTCAAATATTGGGCCCATCTTGGGTCAAAAAAGGAGGGGGCGTCCATCAATTTCAGCTGATGTCTCGCCCCAAATGGGTTTAGCCGGTCCCACTTGGTCCAGGCGAAGGGGCTTGCCGTGGGCCCCTGGCTGTCAAGAAATTTTGGCTGGCGGGATTGAGGAGAAGGGCTTTTTCTGCTGTGGCCCCTGGAACAATGTGGCATTGGAGGTGAGATCTGCTTCCACCCTCCTGGCCTTCGGGAAGACTCTTCTGGAAGGGAGAGGAAGAGGAAGAGGAAGAGGAAGAGGAAGAGGAAGAGGAAGAGGGAGAGGAAGAGGGAGAGGAAGAGGGAGAGGAAGAGGGAGAGGAAGAGGGAGACGGAGAGAAGGGAAGGGAAGGAGTAAGTAAGTCTGAGAATGGAGCTGGCATTCTCTGCCCATCCTACCTGTGGATGAAGTTCTTCTTCTCCAGGTACTCCATGGCAGAGGAAATCTGGGTGGCCATGTAGAGAAGCACAACCGCGTTCACCTCTTGCCGGCTGCAATCCCGCAAGAAGTCCAGCAAATTCCCGTAGGTCATGAACTCGGTGATGATATAGAACGGGGGCTCCCTCGTGCAGACCCCTGCCAAGTCAAGACAGACGCTCAAAGGGAAGCCTCCCTGTCTCGGTCAGGCTTCAAAAGCTGAGCGCGAGAAGGAAGGGCCCAAAGCCCGGCTTTTCCCAGATAAGACCCCGGAGCTCCGGGCCCTCCGTAGATGGAAGCCACCTCAGAAGAATTAATTAAAGACCTCGCTCTGCTTTTTTTAATTTTTTTTTTACTTTTCCTCCTTTTTAGTCATCCATTGCCAGCCCCTGACAAAGAGCTGAGACGTCTCGACGTGAAGCTACGGTGCAGTAAGCAGCTCCTTCGCCTCCCCGGTGCCAGGCAAGGGTCTCCGGTGTGCACGGCCGTGCTCGGGATTTATGTCACTTACCCAGTAATTGCACCAAATTTGGATGCTTGATTTCTTTCATGACGGCGGCTTCTTTCAAGAATTCCTCTACCTCCATGGTGTCCTCCTGTGACGAGAACAGAGAAGAAAAGAAGGAATCAGGCCCAAAGGCTGGTTGCTGGCAAAATAAAGCTATTTTCAGCACAATCAGTAGAATATATCTCCTTCTTTCCTTCCTTCCTTCCTTCCTTCCTTCCCTCCCACCCTTTCTCCTTCCTTCCTTCCTTCCTTCCTTCCTTTCCTTCCCTTCCCTCCCTCCCACCCTTTCTTCCTTTCTTCCCTCCCTCCCTCCCTCCCTCCTTCCTTCCTTCCCTCCTTCCTTCNCTTTCAGAACTAGAACTCACGGTCTCCTGCTTTCTAGCCTGGTCCCTTAACCCCTAGATCAAACTGGCTCTCTATGTTTCTCTTGAAATCTCTCCACCCTTCTTAAAGTTGCACTGCCCACTTCGCTTCTGCCCCTGTCCCAACCCTTTGCCCATCTCCAATCCTAATGAGGTTCCTGACCCTGAAGTAACCAGGATGAGAACAAAGGACAGATCATAGGATGGAATCCTTGCCAATCAAAACAGCTTTTCCCTTTGATTTTTTTTCTCCCAAGGATAACATGGAAAACTTGAAAGAACCTGTGGTGCACTTGCAAAGGGATTGTTGGGGTGGAAATAACCCTCCCCCTTCCCCAATATTCACTCAATTCACATCGGTGGAAACCCATTTCCTTTTTTCCAGAAATTTCATTATCAAGATTGTTTTTCTTGTTTTAGGCCTGAGGTGCAAAGACGCAGGGGAAGTGCAAAAAACACCAGTAAAATCAATCCAATTTCACAGGAAACCCACAAACACCACCCATTTTCCCTCTGCCCTGTTTTCTCCAGCCCCCTAATCATCTTTCTTGCTCTTCTCTGGACTCTTTTTCCAGAGTCCCAGCATACTTTATGTATCGTGGGTGACCAAAACTGGATGCAGAATTCCACTTTCGGGAGAGGCATGAAATTCACTTGCATGAGGTTGCTGTCCCATGCCCAGTCTGAGGTAGGATTAAAATACGAAATCGCCCAGTAAAATGGTACTTTCCAACAAAATAAAAACACAGATCTGTGCAATAAAATCTGTGAAATTAGAAATTAATTGGGGGGGGGGAATAAACAGTAATCCTTGAAAATAAAACTCACCATTACAAACCCCCCCCCAAGCATTTCTCTGCTATCTTGGGTTTTTCTGCACGTTTCCATTTACTCCAGCAGACAAAAAACTGCATTGACATAACGTACAATAGGAAAAGAGCAGAACGGAGGGAGGGCAGCTCAGAGTCTTAAAAGGACTATTGATTCGAAAATATAAGACAATCAGACCCATAGCCTATTTATTCCAGGCTAAATAGCATCCTTATTAGTTTACCAATGAGTTTGAGAACGTTGCATGCAACATTGAACTGCAGTATCCCACACTTTGGATCAAATAACCCAGCAATCCATAATTTGATCCTGGAAGCGCTGTAGAATCTTCGTTAATTCTTTTTTTCCCCTGCAATGAAGCTATCTAATCCTCCATGAGGGCCATTCCTGGTGATGGCCATTACTCCAGAGCATGCAGTTGCAAGAGGGAGGGAGGGAGGAAGGAAGGAAGGAAGGAAGGAAGGAAGGAAGGAAGGAAGGAAGGAAGGAAGGAAGGAAGGAAGGAAGGAAGGGTGGAGGGTACACAAACAAGTACCCTAGCCCTCACAGAGGACCAGTAAGGGAGCATATTTCAATCTTAGCAAAATTCAGATGTGTGGACTTCATTTCCCAGAAATCCTTGGCTTCCATAGCCAGTGCTGAGAATCCTGGGAGTTGAAATGCACCAATATGGACGTAGCCAAGGTTGGCGACCCTGGCCTAGACAAAGGTTGGGTTTACACCACATGCTGTTCATTTTACCAAATCCAGAGCGGCTTGACTCCCACATAAACCTAAGCCATAAATTATGGTTTATAAAAGCACGCCGAGCCAAACCCAACCCAACCCTCATTTGGCTTTCCTCAGGGTGTGAACCAAGCCACAACGATGTTGAAATAAAAAGAGTCAACTGAGAAAAAAAACAGAGACTGGAAGAAAAATGGAGAAAGAAGAGGTAAGGATCCAGGTATTAGGAGGAAAAATTAAAATATGGACGAGATCTGGAATGGGGAAACTGAGGCAGCCAACAAAATCAACATCGTTCCCAATTGCAAGGAAGAAGGAAAGTCATCATCTTGATCTAAAAATTACAAAACACCCTTCCTTCCTTCCTTCCTTCCTTCCTTCCCTGCCTCCCTCCCTCCCTCCCTCCTTCTCTGGATCCAGACTACAGTCCTCAACTTACAACCATTTGTTTAGTAACCATTCATAGCACTGAAAAATGACTTATGACCGGTTCCCACACTTACGACTGCTGATACATTCCCCCCCCTGCAAAGATTCCTATGCAGAAAACCGAGCGAGAACAGCTCTTCCAACACATCCCCCGTGCTTCTGCTCTGTGTGTGTGTGTGTGTGTGTGTGTGTGTTGGGGTGAGCTTGTTGTGTGTGTGTGTCTGGGCAAGCGTCCCACGCTAATTGAAGTCTTATTTAAGGGCATCACCGAGCTAAATGTTGCGAGGAGGAGTATTGAACAGGGCAGTGCCAGCCATCATTTATCTCTCTGCAGAAACTACTTTGTCAAACCAGCTCGCTCTCTGTGGCTCCCAGCAACTCCGAAAACAGGATAATAAATAGTCTGCGCAGAAAAATAATTAATCACCAGCCGAAGTCCAGTCGGAACTGCAGAGGCGGCTTCCTTCCCACTGTTCGCTCAGCTCGGAGAGCACCACCCTTGCTGGCGGAGGCAGGCCTAAGGGAGACTGTCCAAGCCATTTTCAACAATTTCCTCCACCCTTCCCATGAAGAAAAATTATAGTTCTCAAGAGCTTCTCCCCATTCCCCTTCCTCACATCCCAAAGTGATCACTAAGGACTGGGTCTCCCCCTGCTGGCTTCTGAGTAGGGAGACGAGGGGACTGAAAAGGCTTCCGTGCTTTGTTGACCCCAAAGACCCAGCCGTAATCTTGAACGTCAAAAGGCTAAATTGACAGGTTTAAGAAAAGTGTGTACAGGGGCACACATTCTGTCACTAAGTGAGAAGGTGGCAAGACCTGAAGGAGCAGGTTGGGGGGCAGTTCCTCCTGGAGAACACGTATGGGGTGGCTAAGTGTTGACACCAACTTGGTGGCGTGTAATCCATCAATGGGTCAATGCAAAGATGGAGCTCCCTTTGAGGAGTCCATAATGTTGGGAAAGCTGGAAAGAAAGAGAAGAAGAAGACAACCAACAGCAAGTGATTGGGCTTCATTGCTATGGAGATAGGGCAGAGCTGGAAGACCAGGATGAAGACAGATCCTCCTGGAGAAGATTTATCTATGTGTCCCTAATAGTCCATAGCAACCTGACATAATCAATCAATGGATCAATGCAAAGACTCAGCTCACTTTGAGAAGTCCGTCATGCTAGGAAAGGTGGAAGGAAAGAGGAGAGGATGAGAGTGGAGACACAGTTACAGGGCTGATAGGGGCATCATTGGAAGACCTGAAAGACCAGGCTGGGGACAGATCTTCATGGAGAAAACCTATGGGGTCCCCAAGATTCAACATTGACTGGATGGCCCATAATCAGTCATCATCATGGACAAACTATATGGTTGCTAAGAGTTGACATTGGATCAATGACACCTGATCAGTCAATGAGTCAATGAGAAGATGGAGAACAAGACGATGACCAGGTGGATGGACTCGGTTACAGTGGTGATAGGGGCATTGTTGGAAGACCTGAAGGACCAAGTTGGGGACAGATCCTCCTAGAAAAAATTATCTGTGTGGTCCACACTGACCTGATGGCAGTCAATCAATCCATCCCTTTCTATCTGGCAAGCCATATAAGTCCATGCAAGCCATACAAGGCAAGACAAGAAACAGCGGATGGAAACTAACCAAGGAGAGAACCAATCTAGAAACAAAGAGGAATTTCCTAACAGTTAGAACAATCAAGGGCTTGCCTTCAGAAGTTGGGGGTGCTCCATCATTGGAGGCTTTCAGAAAGAGATTGGACAGCAGGGTGTCCTGCTCGAGCAGAGAGTTGGACTAGAAGACCTCCACGGTTCCTTCCATCTCTGTTATTCTGTGTTCTGTGTTCTGGGTCCCAGATACGTTCTAATGCTGGGATGGATGGAAGAGGACAGAAGAAGACAACCAGCAAGAAGGTGGAGGGACTCAGTTGCAATGGGGATGTGGCTACCATAGGGAGACTTGGAAAAAAACAGACTAGGGATAAGAGATTCTCCGGGAAAAAAATTCTATCTTTTTAGTCACTAGGAGTTGAAAATGGCTTGCTGGCATTATAATCAATCAATCAAAAGTGACAGGGGAGAGGGAAAATGTGAACAGATGAGTAATCTAAGAGTTAGATAGCTGGGTGCCAGAGGGAGAGCAGGACTGCCTTGAAAAACAAGAACCCGGTGTAACATTATTTGACGGGCTCCTCGTTTTTTGTTTTTTTCTCCAGGGACAATTTGGCAAACTCAATAAGTCAACAGCGGTCCAGGAAACCTGGTTCCATCCCTACGACTGGGCGCCTTTCAGCTTCTACGTCAGAATAATCACTTGGGCTGCTTGATATATTGTGCGTGAAGATGCAGGGAAGACAGATATTGAAATAAAGTGGTTCTTAAAGCCATTTCTGCTCTATCACCAGTCGCCCCTTTTCTTGGGGAAAATAGATGCTTTCCTGGAGGGGCAGCTTCAGGGGAAGAGATAAAAAGCTGTGATGATGAATGCAAGGCTTGTCCTTCGTGCTCAGGAGAGAACTGGAGGCAATTTGGAGTAATAAAGAGATTGGCCAGATTTAATGCCACGAAACCAGCTGTAGTCCTCAACTCAACTCAGCCCAAAATTTCTGTTGCTAGGCGACAGTTGGTTAAGGGAGTGTTGTCGCCCCATTGCCGCAGTTGTTAAGTGGATCGCTGCAGTGGTTAAGTTAGCAACAGGTTGTTAAGTGAATCTGGCCTCCCCACTGTCAGTAGGTCGCAAAACGGGATCACCTGACCCATTTTTTTTATCCCTTAGGTTTTAGGAGCAAAAATCTCCATTGTTGAGTTGGCCCTTCTTGTAGCATTAGCCAAGATTCCCGGTTAATAGCACTAGGTGGCGCGATTTCCCCACTGTTAATTTCAAACGGATTTAGGATTAAGGTTTGAATGGGACCTATTTGGGGGGGGGGGAGGGCTTCTTGTACTTAGAATGGCTTAGAATAGAGCTGGAAGGGACCTCGGAGGTCTTCTAGTCCAGCCTCCCCCCTCGAGCAGGAGAACCTATACCATTTCAGACCAGTGTGAATTTATTTCTGATTTCTTTTTTAACTTAATTGACTTAACTTTGGGGAAGATCCAAATTCTCCCCAGTTCCTTCCTTCCTGTCACCGTTTTTAAAACAGGAAGGGAGGAAGGATTTGGATCTTCCCAAAAATTAAGTGAAAAAGGAAATCAGAAATAAATTCACAAGAACAAGAAGCCACCCCCTTGAGGTCCCATCCAAACCTTAACCCTAAATCCATTCGAAATTAAAAGTCAGTTACTAACTTCCCAATCGCAGGGATTCGCTTAAGAACTGGGGCAAAAAAAAGGTCGTTATGTGGAGCCAAATTCACTTAAGGACCGTCTGTCTGGCTGGGCAATGGGAAATCTGAGCTCAATTGCGGTCTGTAGGTCAAGGAAAACCTGCGTTCTCAAAAACATTTTGATGGGCTGAATAAGCTCAGATATTCCTCTTTCAGCTCATTCAGTGTTTTCTGCAGCGAAGCAATTCCCAGCTGATGGGAGGAGATGCTCCTGCTTTCCAAGTACAAAATCTCTCTCTCTTTTTTTTTTATTGATCATATTTTGTGGTAGCTCACGCCCACGACCCAAGCCAGGGTATGAAAGTATAAAATAAAAGCGAACCCAGCCATTAAAAACAGCTTGAGATCCATAATTCTTCACGAGACAGGTTTCTAAAAATTGCCTAAAGAAAAGGGCTAGGAGGTATTCAAAGCCTGTTCGAAAAGGAAGCGAAAAGCTATTATGCAAAATAACGATGATGAGGAGGATGATAATAATTATAATAAGCGACATCTTTTCATCCATTAATTTCGGCCTCTCCTAAAAGTCTGGTTGTTTATAAAGGCTTGGCGGGGATCGAATGCAATTGAGGATTTAAAATTAAGACTCGCCACTCTTACCTTGAGGGTCTTCACCGCCACGGTGAGATTGTACTTCTTCCAGACGCCTTCGTACACCTCCCCGTATTGTCCACCCCCCAGTTTGTGCTTCATGGTAATGTCCGTCCGTTCGATCTCCCACTTGTCGTAGTTGGGGGACACGCCGTAAATGGTGGGCTTGTTCCTCTTTGGGGCAGGATAATGGAGAGTGATGATCAGGCCATCAGCCACGGTCGAGTGGTGGTGGACCAGCTCAGCCAAGGTGTTGAAGCGGCTTTCTGAAGAGACGTAAAGCTGGAGAGAAGCAAAGAGAAAAGTCTTCTGAAGTTACGCTTCTACGTGAAGGCGGGGGTGGCCACGATTGAGCCACGAAATTTCTGCTGCTATGCGAGACGGAGGTTAGGCTCGGAGGTCCTCCAGGAGGGCCTGTCCCAAGCCTGATCCTCCAAGTCTTCCAGTGAGGTCCTCATTGCTCTTTCTGATCTTTCCTTCCACTTTCCCCAACATTATAACTTTCTCAAAGTTCAAAGTTATAATGGACCTCGAAAAAGGGAGTGACCCGGCTTCAACGTTCGAATGCCTGCCCCATCCATCCCCGGGACTTGTGTTCACACGACTGCATTTCAGGCACTCGTTCACATGACTGTAATTTGTTATTTTTGTCAGAAACCAGTGTTTATTTCTCCTTGTGTTGTCACTGCCTTCTTCTGGACGCATCCTCAGCCCTGGGATCTCCTGGTGGTCTCCCTTCCAGCTACCAATGAGGTCGGCCCACGGGTAGCTTTCCCAGAATCCGCCAAGATCAGGCAGCCCCTAGACAGGTTCCCGCTTATCAATAAATACAGGCCCCTCTTTGCAACCAGAAGGAACGGCTGCTCTGTTATATTATGATTAATTCAAGGCAGTCAAAACGATTATCAGTGGCCAGAAACTGCAGCCGGCCAAACACAAATTATTCATCCATACACTTGTAGCGGCAGGCTCCCTGTCGTGACAAAAATCACTCTGAGAGATGAGGCACCAAAGAAAAGAAAAAAAACCAGAAACGAAGAAAGAAAGAAAGAAAGAAAGAAGGAAGGAAGGAAGGAAGGAAGGAAGGAAGGAAGGAAGAAAGAAAGAAAGAAAGAAAGAAAGAAAGAAAGAAAGAAAGAAAGAAAGAAAGAAAGAAAGAAAGAAAGAGGAGGAAATTTACATCCCACGGTTATCAGCCATGTTTCTTTCCTGCATGAAAGTCACCTTAGAAGTAGTTACAATTCTTAGGGGGGGGTGACTAAAAGTAGTCCTTGACTTACGACTGTTTATTTAGGGACCATTTTAAATTGCAAAGAAGGGAACTATGATCAGTTCTCACGCTTACGACCGTTGCAACATCCCCAGGGTCACGTGTACCAAAATTCGGGCGCGTGTTTAGGAAGGCTGCCGAACCTGGGGGTCATGTGATCACAGTTGTGACCTTCCGATAAGCCGATGGGCAAGCCGGATTCGCTTAACGGCTATGTGATCCGCTTAAGGTCACAGGATGAGTCACTTAACGACGGTATCCCTCAGCAACAGAAGTTCCGGTCCCGCTCGTGGGCGTTAAGCGGAGGACTGCCTACCTACAGCTTCTTCCTCTACAGCTTTTCGATAGGAGCAATTGAAAAAAAAATAGCAATTTGACCTCGTTCGAAATTCCTCCTCTGTTTTCTGCGCCCTCTTGATCCTTTCGCAGCGGCTGCCTCCCGCCCCGATTCCCCAGCCTCCAAAAACAGCTCTATTTTCAGCACTTGCAGTTATTAACTTGCCCGATTAAATTAATAACGGCACGATCGGGGAAGATGCACCGGGAGCGGCAGAAAAGAGCTCCACCTGATTTCTCCCGACAAATCCCAACCGGGCCCGAGATACGATATCTATTTCATCAAACAACTTAATATTGTTTCGTACTGCAGGGACCGTGATAATGGGGCCAACGAGAATCTAATTCCGCACAGTTTCCAGGATGGTTATTTTTATTAAAAACAGAAAACCTCCAGCTGATAAGACTCTGATAAGGAGCCGGTGGACGTGGGTGCTAATGAATTCCCATCGCCGTTATCTCTTCTTGAAAATTCTGATTAAAACAACTTGGGGTAAGAAAAGGAGCATTAATCTTTTCTGCAAAAAGTCTCCCCAGCCGTTTCCATCGAGCGAGGATGGACTGTCCTCTAGTGGAAAGAGAGCAGCAGGTGCTCCTTTGAGCAAAATTACACAAGCTGTAGGTGGTGGGACTCACGGCCATTAGAGACAGTCCTCGACATACAACGGTTCATTTAGTGACCGTTCAAAGTTACATCTTTTTGTGGACCGTTTTTCACGCTTACGACCGTTGCGGCGTCCCCCAGGATCACGTGATCAAAATTCAGACTCTTGGCAACTGACTCGTATTTATGACGGTCGCAGCTTCCCGTGGTCACTTAACAACTGTGTGGCTAGTTTAACAACTGCAGTGATTCACAACTGTGGCAAGGTAGGTCGTAAAACGGGGCACAACCCACTCCACCTGCTTAGCAACAGACATTCTGGGCTCAAAATAACCTGTAGAGAGTTTGGGTTGATTTTATTCTACAAAAATAAGATCTGGAGATGCCTCCATCTGAAGCGTCCCAAACACACCAAGCTGGTCACTCGCTGTGTGCTTGTGGAGGGTCAACGTCAACGGCACTCACCTTCCCATCCGAGGCGGTGTTGATCCGGTAGTGGTAGACCCTCCCCTCGTATCTCAAGGATATGGACCGCTGCCCAGGACTGCTCTCGCTTTCCCGTACCAGAAAGCTGCCGTTGATCCCGCTGCTCAGCAGATACTCCGCCGCATTGCGGGACACCGGTCCATGGTACCATGAGTGCTTTTCCAAGCTGTTCACAGGGGTGATGTAGTTGCTGGGGACCCATCCTTGCCCGTTCTTCGTCTGGGCTTCGCACCATTCTCCATTGTGGTTGTAACCCAAGACTCGAAGTTTTTCCCCTGTGGGTAAAGAAAAAACAACACAATCACGACTCTGAGAATTGTTGAATGTTACTTGGGAGCAAGTGGTTCACAGGCAATGATTAAAACACAGCAAAGGAAGGGGATATTTGTAGTTCGGTCCTGGGTGTTCTCCGAACTTGAGGCTTTTCTTCCAGGCGTCTCATGACCCAACTAGACAACATCATCAGGGCTAGTGAGTGTGGCTTGCTCCCTATTTATACACAGTAGCTGTGAGCTGGGCTGTCGAAGTGGAATTCCTTCCCCCAAAGGCCACCCTTTTCTTCCTTCCCTTCTTCCTTCTGCTTTCCATTTGGAGGACTTACCTTTAGTGATGCTGAGTGTGTTGTCCCCGCTGGCTACGAAATCGTACAAGGCCACAAAAAGATTCGGATCATTTTCGCCCGGAGCACAAAGGAGATTTTCCTTGGAATTCCAGCGGGCGGCCTCGCTCAGACTCTGGGGCTCGAACTCGGAGGCCACGGGCCGTTGAAGCGCTTCTGGTGGGAAGGGAAGGGAAAGGAGAGAGGAAGAAAGGAGAAGGAGAGAGTTCATTTTCTCGTTTGAGGAATCTGGGAAAAGCACAACTGAGGAAGGAGCCACGAAAGAAAGAAACGCTGCTGCAACCGAGAAGTGAATGGGTCTATTGTGAGGCCTGCACAATGCCACAACTGCAGGGCATTCACTTCCCTTCAGGTGAATCCTCTTGCATTCAGTTCGAGGGGACTGGATGGGATTCCCTGGAACAAAGAGGGATTATTGGAGAATATGGTTCCATGCTGTCTAAATTCAACCCAGCATTTAAAGTCTGAATTGCAGAGATCTGTATAAATACTTCACTGAAAAGAGAGGGGGAAAAAAGGGGGGGGGGTGACTGTTATCACAGCCTCTTTTGGCTTGGTTTGGCTTTTGGTAACTTCAACATTTCTTCTCATAGACATTTTCTCTTTCTCTCTCCTTCTCTCTCTCTTTTTCCTCTCTCTCTCTCTCCTTTGCTTTTTCTCAATTCACCAAAACTGGAGGCAGAATTACTAAGGCTTTGTAGGGCTTACAATGGTGAGAAATGGTGGGAAAAGAACTCAGAATAACTCCATCTTGACTGCGGTAGGTATAAGTTGAAGCAAAGATGGGCTTTGACTGACTTTGACCTGTAGGTTGGCTTTTTTTTTTAAAAAAAGTAGTTTATATTTCACTGTTTGGTGTACAGAGTCTCTCCCCCCCCCCTCCCTTTTAATCCATAATCAGCCACTTCAGGTCTTGTAAAAGGAGCCGAACAGGCTCCTATATATTAAAAAAATAAATTCATAAAAGGGAAACTCTTTCATGTCTGCTCGGGTTCTAAGGCAGGAACTTAAGCATTTGTTCAACAAAGACTCCGGCTTTTCTGGTGCAGCAACATCCGTGTTTATAAACAGGGAATCACCGTTGGGGAAGTGCAAATTGTTTCCAACTGTTTGCAAAGAGGGAGGTTTTTGATCCGTTCCCCCCACCCCACCCCACTCTATGGAGGAGCCACTAAGCAAGTTTGTTTTCTCTTTTCTTCCAGAGACCATCCACCTGGTTCCTTTTTCAGGGTTTAGCAGGGGCTGATGGGACTTTTTTTTTTTTCTGCACGGGAGGGGTGACGCATAATGCAAGCGAGGGGAGAGACTTCGGGCTTTGCCAACTGGCCAGGTTGCTTGCTGCCAAAATCTTTCCTTCTTCCGGCCACTTAAGATAATATTTACCAGGTGGAATCAAGTGGAAAAGAGGATACAAACCAAGATTGGTGGAAACCACAAAAGGAGAGCTTGGTTAAGTGCCCTGGATTGGTATCTTTGGAGCTAAGCCAAGTCCTTTTTTTAAAAGAAAGAAAGAAAGAAAGAAAGAAAGAAAGAAAGAAAGAAAGAAAGAAGGAAGGAAGGAAGGAAGGAAGGAAGGAAGGAAGGAAGGAAGGAAGGAAAAAAGAAAAAAAGAAAGAAAGAAAGAAAGAAAGAAAGAAGGAAGGAAGGAAGGAAGGAAGGAAGGAAGGAAGGAAAAAAGAAAAAAAGAAAGAAAGAAAGAAAGAAAGAAAGAAAGAAAGAAAGAAAAGAAAAGAAAAGAAAAGAAAAGAAAAGAAAAGAAAAGAAATATTGGCTCACCCAAGACACTAGCTTAAAAGCAGTTGGATGAAATCACTGGGAGTTCCTTTTAGGAAGCGCAGCATTAAATAAACAAAAAAAGTAAGGAAGTTTGAGGGATAACTTGCAGGTTGGTGTGTGTGTGTGTGTGTGTGTGTGTGTGTGTGTGAGAGAGAGAGAGAGAGAGAGAGAGAGAGAGAGAGAGAGAGAGAGAGAGAGAGAGAGATTCATTTTTTAAGGAGGATTGAGAGGAGCTGAGGAAGGGTCAAAGAAGGGCAGGCCAGCTGGGATGGCCTTGAGGTCCCACAAGGGAAGACAGAGGAAACTGAGCGTGTTAAGCCAGCAAAGAAATGGGTGGAGATAGGATAACACCCTTCAGACGCCTAAAGAGGGAAAGTAGAAAATGTCTTAAATGTGCTCTCCACCCTCTCTGAGTTCAGGAGGTGGAAACACAATCTTAAATTATGAGTTGGTGGATTCATAATTCGTCAGGGTAAAAAATGAGAGTTCTTCAATGGTAGAATGAACTTTCGATGGATTCGGAGATTCCCTTTTTGTTGATTGTGTTCAGGTACATAGTGTAAAATAGAAGAATTGAAAGGGACCTTGGAGGTCTTCTAGTACAACCCCCTGCTCAAGCAGGAGACCCTATGCCATTCCAAGCAAGTGGCTGTCCAGTTTGCTCTTAAAAACCTCCATTGATGGAGCACCCACAACTTCTGGAGGCAAGCCCTTCCACTGGTTGGTTGTTCTCACCGTTAGGAAGTTTCTCCTTAATTCTAGGTTGCTTCCAATTAGTTTCCATTCATTGTTTCTTGCCTTGCCTTCTGGTGCTTTGGGAAATAGTTTGACCCCCTCATCTTGGTGGCAGTCCCAAAAGTGAAACAGATGTTGATGGCCTTCAAACAACCAGGAGATGGAGGCAAGGGGAGATAACACCAATCCAAAGACTGCAGATCTGTTGGAAACCTTCTTGAATCTAATAAATATTTGTAGCTCAGGGCTGAAATGAGGGGTCGTTGGTTCTGTCTGACCTTGGTTGTTTTCTTGCAGATGTTTCATTTTCCAAACTAGGTGCCATCATCAGCACCGGTGATGTTACCTAGTTTGGGTAATGAAACGTCTGCAAGAAAACAACCAAGCTAAGAGAACACCAAGGACCTTCTTGAATCCATATGGAATCCCTAAACGAGATCCTAAGCAGGCCTCATGAATGCATCAAAAATCAGATGTTAGTTCCTTCAGAAGATCTCTACAAATTGTAAGCCAACATGCCTGTTGAAAGGAGTTAAGGGAGCCACTCGGTCCACGTTCAAGGTCCAAGTGTATCAAACCCCAGATCCAAAATAGGAAACGTGATCCTTCTTCGTCCACTCAACCTTTTTTGGCAATCCCAAACCACAACAGACTCACAATTGGAAGTCGAATTTCCTGCTGTTTTATGATGATGGAAACCCAGCTCCCGGCTCTGGATAAGCACCAGGATTCCTCTGTGTACCTCCAGACCATCATTCCTGGCTTCCAAAGTCAACAAAGGAAGGCAATGACTCTCGAGTAGAGTTTCTCAACTTTGGCAACTTGGAAGACGTGTGGACTTCAACTCAGCCGGCTGGGGAATTCTGGGAGTTGAAATCCATACCCCGTCAAGCTGCCAAGGTCCTGAAACCCTGCTCCAACTTTCTCCCTGGTGTTGTTGTACAGTCTCTGCCTCCTGACATTGGCCAAGTTGTGGAGATTTACAAACCAGGAACCTTCTCATAAATTAGCTACTAAGATTCATCCTGGTAAGTCGCAGACTCTTCGCCCTTCCCTTTTTCATAACAGATTTTTCTTGTTAAGATACATTACGGCTAGTTTTTGACTTATGCCCACAAGAGATTTGTTAAGTGAGTTTTGCCCCACTTTACAAACTTTCTTGTCACAGCTGTTAACTGAATTGCTGCGGTGGTTTAGTTAGTAACCTGGTTGTAGTAACCTGGAATCTGGCTTCCCCTTTGACTTTGCTTGTCAGAAGTCGCAAAAGGGGATCGCGTGATCCCCCGGGACACTGCAACCGTCATAAATATGAGCCAGTGGCCAAGCGTCCGAATCTTGATCACGTGACCATGAGGATGCTGCAACCGTCGTAAGTGTGAAAAGGGGTTATAAGTCCCTTTTTTCAGTGCCGTTGAACTACGGTAAGTCAAGGACTACCTGGAGCTTATGCTGGTCTTACCAGCAGGTGTGGCAATTCTCACTGCTGCTGGGTATACCTAATCTAACAAAGAGAAGGATCAGAGGTGCTTCCTTGATTGCACAAATTGGGTATGGCCAATCTAGAGAACAGAAGGACTAGGGGTGACATGATAGCAATCTTTCAATATCTGAGGGGCTGCCACAAAGAAGAGGGGGTCAACTTATTCTCCAAAGCACCTGAAGGCAGGACAAGAAGCAACGGATGGAAACTGATCAAGGAGAGAAGCAACCTGGAACTAAGGAGAAACTTCCTGACAGTGAGAACAATTAACCAGTGGAACAACCTGCCTCCAGAAGTTGTGGCTGCTCCATCACTGGAGGTTTTTAAGAAGAGACTGGACAGCCATTTGTCTGGAATGGCACAGGGTCTCCTGCTTGAACAGGGGGGTGGACTAGAAGATCTCCACGGTCCCTTCCAGCTCTGTTCTCACTGATTCCTAAAAAAACTGGGCTGATTTTTCCAATTTTGAGGGTTTTAAGGAACAAAATTAGCCCTTTAAGGTATCTGTTCTACCTTTAGAGGCCCCCACCACAAACATCTAAACCCAAAAGGCTTTAGTCCTTGAAGGTCATTATTTACAACCTTGCTTCTTAGGTCCCCCAGGCAGGCAGAGAATTTTAATACAGCCTCCAGTCCCAAAAGGTCCTTCTGAGCCGATTGTGACTTAATCGAGAAACAATTGTGTTATGTGAAGACCTAGCAGATATTGGAAAACAGCCATCTTCTAACATTTGAGGGGCTGCCACAGAGAAGACAGAGGGGGGGGGCAAATTGATTATCCAAAGCACCTGAAGGCAGGGCATTTTTTTCAAACTTTTTTGGGTTTGGGGGAGGACTTTTTTGGCCATCTTTTGACACTCAAGCAACCACAGAGCTGACTGGTGGGAGAAAAATCACGTGCCCCTGTTTCTGCTTTCAAAACTGACAGGCCGAGAGGGGAAAAAATAAAAATCTTGGCCGTCCTGATGTTTGCATTTGAGTGGAGTCCAGAACTCCTGACTAATCCACCATTGAAATCCTGGAAAAACAAAAGTTATTAAGTACAATACCACGGGAAAGGGGAGGGGGGGATATTTCTCCTCAATTTGGAAAATACAGATGGTTGCCCGCTGCAAAAAAAAAAAAAAAAAGGAGCAGAGTCACGATGCGATGAAGGGACTTCAACAACTCTGAGCGGAAAGTATGTGATGAGCTAGAACAAACATCGAATGGCCAACATTCCCCAGAAATGCCATAATTAATATGATTAATCCTCCCCCCCCTGGTTGCAAGCCGGCCCAGCAAATGTCTTCCCCATTCTCAACACGGATTGGGAGTTCACTCACCTAAATCCTAAATCCCAAAGAATCTGCACAGATGGAAATCCGAAGGGAACATTAAACTTAGCATGGAAATATATGAAGCTAAAAGCAGTCATGGGGACAAACCAATTCTCCCCCCCCCCCCCCCCCCAAAGAAGCCTTTTTTGGCCAAAATCACTGCCTTTTTCTTCCCGAAATGGAACTGTGTTTAAAAATTCTTCTTGGAAAATCCAAGTGATTTCATCCTTTTTTTTTTTAAATCCACCAAACGGATACCCAGAGGTGTCTGTGAGGATTAAGTTTCCCTCAGCAACTTTCCTCAATATTCTTTAACCATACATGGAAGAGAAAACAGGCGTAACGTTTGCTGAGGACTAGAAGTTAATAGAAATCACTTGGTTGGGCCAGTACCTTTTTCCCATGTGGGAAGGGAGGAGGAGGGGGAGTTGTTGTTGTTAAGGAGCAGGAGGAGAAAGAGAAGAAGGAGAGAAGGAGAGGGAGGGGGAGGGGAGGGGAGGGGAGGGGAAGGGGGAGGGCACGAGGAAGAGGACAAGGAGAAGCACACGATCCTCTCTCACTTGAGCATGGCATGAGGTTGGCCAAGGGGAAACTGAGGCAGCCAAGATCCATTGCTTATTCCATTGCTCTGTTTTCTCCTGGAAAAGAAAGGGGGGAAAAGCAAAGAAGGAAGGAAGGAAGGAAGGAAGGAAGGAAGGAAAGAGGGAAGGAAGGAAGGAAGGAAGGAAGGAAAGAGGGAAGGAA